TTGTTAAACGTAGAATATATTTTGAAGCACAAAGTAACGTTTGCCTTGACGCTCGGTATAATACTACGCGTAAAGACGATGCGCAAACTCTGCAAGGTGATCGCAAGAATAAAAGACTGATGGAAATTTTCCTCTCCTTACGATCGCGTTTGTTCGCATATTGGCCGGGAATACCAACAAAATTCCAGTCGCCGTTGCTGGGCAGACCCGCGTAGAGCTGACATTGCTCCTGCCCGGGGTTCGATTGTTAATACAACGTGTGTCCCACGATATTGGCACTTCTCTGTTAGGTAAAAACGTTCATCCCGTGACCGGGGCTACGTTCGGCGACCAGTTGTGTCACCTCGAGCCCAAGCCCACTGTCACAAATCTCGGGCAAACATAATAGGATCGTGTCACCTCGAGTCCACTGTCACGAATCTCGGGCAAATATAATAGGATCGAACCATAATAACTACCTCTAAGTTTTATTATTTAAGTACAGCTATAATAAATACTCTGGACTAAAGTATTGGGTATTTTCCCAAAAATTGCAAAAGAATGGCCCCGATGTCTCCTCATCTCCGACATATATATATACATAATATATAATACAAGAGATTTGTTCAGTAAAACTCAGTTTATATAAACCAATTAGAAGATAATCAGTTTATATAGTACAAGTTCATCGGTTCATTCCACTACATACGATTTTTTCTTATACGACAGGAATTTTCGTTTAAATAAATGGATATGATGGGTAAAAGTTGATTCGATCAATAAACAATGATTACATCTAAAAATCATAGCTCTCGCTCATTCTAGATCAGAATCCTACTGCGGTCTTCGAGTTCCTTTCGAATTATTTCCTTATCGTTACAAAGTAAAAGAATTATCTTTTATGTGCAAAATTTCACATTTGTATTCTATGTATGAAGATCTTTTTTATAACATGAAAAATCTTCTAATTGGTCGAAATGAAAATAAAGTTGAGAAATAAAATTTCTAAAGGCACAGGGAAGTTAAAGAATATTGCGTTCAGGTTACAGGACTTTTTGATACTAAAAAGTGCTTTAAATCTCCTAGATAACGAATTATAACGATCTCAAGATAGTCCACGTCGAACTACTGGATCGATATCATACGCGTCAGCAAGATAGGCTTGTTCCAAGACTACCAAAATCGTATCCAATGACACCGATATAATATGCGGTTTTCCTCGATCTTGGAATAGCGTTGGATCAGTACTATGAAACCATGGACGTGGAATTCGTTATACGGCGACTGTGAGGTTACCAAGATCGCTCCCCTTATTCTCATGGTTGGAGTGCTCAGCCCTTACGCTTTTGTGGTTCTGTGACACTGATTTCACGTTCGTGGCAAGTATTCTATCCTTAGTGGATTATCCGTTGACGCTCGATGAATATACCAAAACGTATCTTATTTTTTTTTGTTGGCAACTGGATTTGTCATTACGTTTCAACCATCCTCTTTGTTATATTTATTATTTCACGTTTTCTTCTGAAATTCAACAGGCCCGAGATCATAAGATAGTTGGCATAATTTTTTAACATTTGTAAGAATACTTGGACTAAACAGAGTGCAACGATTGTTCGTGTTACCAATCCTTGGTTTTGTATATGAGATCTGATAAAACAAAATTGCAATAATTGACTGTCCTATTGATCGATGAAGCGAATACATTCGTGTTAGTCAATTATGTTTGATGTTTTTTATACTGCGGATCTTACGTATGTTTTTTTATCTGTATATATGCACGTGTTTCTCGTGTTTCGGTAGAAAAATTTAGGTCTGTCGTTACATAGTTTTCACGGATCTCATTTCTAATTTATTTCTTGTTTATGTAACTATCGCGAATGTTTTATCGTCTCTCGTAAGATATTCCGTGTCGTAATGTGAAGTTATCGCAGGTATGTAAGAGAAGAAAGGAAGAAGTTGATAATAAAGGTTAAGAGTAAAAAATTGTGCTGGTTGGATCCCAGTGAGACCGACTGCAATGAGGGAATACGTATAATGCGAGACGAGGTGGAATTTTTTCTTCCACGTGCTAGGTCATATGACGTTTTGGACGGGAAAATGATATAGGTTAAAAATACGTGAGCAAAATCCTTCAAGAGGCCAAGGGACAACCGGAAATACGGAGTCGACCCGCGTCCCCGAACGATTTCGTGTGATTTCACCTGCCAGATGAAAGGACCAATTCACCAGACGTATTCGAGAAAGTATTATTCTCTGAAGAAATACGATTACAAATATCGAACGGGTATCCGTCAAATATGAAAAGAGCGCTTTTCCTTCTTTGCTGAAACGAAATATCATTCCAAATTTTCATTTTCATACAAACGAATCTTCATCGAATCGTTTAAACGATACTTGAATATCGAATGTCGCGTTAACTTTTCGTAACGTCAGAATTTTGCGTTGTGCAAGATTTTCGAGGTGAGTGCGTCTTTTGCGAACGAAATCGTGTTACATTAACTTCGATGCGAATAAAATAATCGAAGTTGACAGGCATTTATCGATATCGATTAATATCTTTTTCGCAAGAACAGGATTCAAATGCGCAATTTCTGATAGGAAAGAGGAATTTAGGAAATAATTTTGGATAGAACTATAATGACTTTGAAGTAGCTCAAATTTCTGTCTGATTTTAACGTTAACCTAACAGTAATTAACAAAACGCAAATAGTCCTGTTGTAGCAAAAAGATTTCTTTGAGAAATTCAAAAATACACAGTTTACGCGGATACTTATCGAATCAAAGATGTTCCACGCTCGCTTAAAAAATCCTCCAACTTTCTTTGTTCCATTCTCTTGACGATTTCCATGCAAACCATGTCCATTTTCATCCAACTGCCCACGGATCTTCTGGCAATCTGCAAGCATACGATAAAAACAAAGCTGTTACCGTTTTACTGGTTGGAATTACACGCCACGCTGGTTATACTCCGGCAGCGCGTTATCTACTTCGCGAGACGTTTAATATTTCGTTGTGAAACGAACGGAAGAGGCTGAAATTACATAAAAACCAACAAACTTGATCAACATATCAAGAAAAAAAAAAAAAAAAAAAAAAAAAAAAAACCTCTCCTTGAAAACGCTCTGGAAATAACTGTCCCGATAATCGATAATCCAGCCACCAAGAGCTTGCCTCATCGATGTAGAGTTTGGAAACAACTTGGCCTTCTGAAAATTTCGTTTTACACAGTTTGAAAGCGTAATCTCATCGAACTCCGTTTCTCCCCGTGAAACGGAACTCTCACCCTTTAAGCTTCTTCCATCCACGGCCAAGCTGTTTCTATTTTTCGAAATTCGAATGACCTTAAACCGGATTTCGCTGGATAAATACGGTGCGTAGGTTTTACGCTTAATAACCAGAGATCGTGGCACGGAGTTATCGCGAGCCGTTTATACGTCGCGTATCGTCGATCTTCGTATGGCTTTTCCCCCTCCTCTGTTCTTTACAGTGAGCAGCAGCAGGTCTGAAGCTCAGTAGATCATCGTCTGGCGAAGAATTGCGCGTCACGTACTCGGCATTTTTCCCTGAATTTTTCCATCGACGTCGAGACCTCCTCGAAAAGAGCGGTCCGCCTTATCGTTCCTGCGTCAAACCGAAAGACGCTCTCTCAGGAAGATTTTCGACGTAGTAACTTTATCACGTAAAAAAAAAAAAAAAAAAAAAAAAAGAAAAAATACGGAACCGTGTACGTAGACTTTCGTTTCTCGCAATCAGATCTCTCTTTCGTCGATTCGCTTCGATGCAAGAACGAAGGGGAAAAGGCGAAATCGTAACAGAACCGGAAAGAAAACGGAAGAAAGTATAAAAACGTGTGCCGTACTTTTACGAGTCTTCTCTACTTTCGCGAGTAATGTCCCAGGCATATGGTGACGGCTGTTACTCCTTTACGACGCCAGGCCACCCTTTCCTGACTCTCCACCCTCCGGTATTCCCGCCACGCGTTCCAAAATCACCAGCTGCTAAAAACGTGCATACGAGACGAGAACGTCCCCGCCCCAACCCAAACCGATTTATCGACGATTTCAGCTCTATCCTCCGTCTTTTCAACCGGTTGGATTAAACACGTGTTCGATCGCTATCGGCGATTTCCTCGTGCGATACCGCTCGCTTCGCGTATCGAACAGTAAACACGAACACGTTCGATGATATTGTAACGCGGCGAGGACCAATTAGCATAGCTCGATACGAAAATCACGTGATATGAGTTTATCGCGAATATCACTGGTGCACGGTGATTCACTTTAATGAGTGGCAAGCTGCTCGTTTCTGGAAGTGCTATTAGCTTTAATGGAACGAGCCACGGATAAATAAGAGGAGCTGATCGAAAATTCTTGCGTGTTGCTCTGATACGTGCGTCGGACACTTGGAAACTTGAAAACCAAGTTTCTTCGCTGCTCCTTCTGTTTCCGCTGCTCGCGTTTCGATTACGAATGAGGAAGCTCCGTGAAAATCAAGAACTCGTTTCCTCGGTTGGTTGTGTCAGGTTCTCGTACGTTAAAAGCAGAGGCAAACTGAAACGTTCTTTAATTCCATTGCATAAATGTCATTTACATTAATTTTTCTTTTATACGTACAAACGTCACAGCTGAAAACCGTAATAACTCTTTTATAGAAGAACAGTTTTTTAATTCAATAGTTATAATTTCGATCGTTAAATAGGAAGATCAGAAAAAATTAAATAATTCGATGGAAATTCCGTATTATTCTATGATCAATTCAGAAGCATCCGTTATCTTCTATTTAGCGAGCACAAACCAACATTTCCTCTTTTTTCAACTCGTTGCTGTTACTTTTTTCGCGCTGGGACAATCGTATTCGGTTAATTTCCAGCAGAAGTTGTTTATGCCGCAATTCCGCGCAATTTTACTCCGGTTACTGAACTTTCGTAAGGGCAATCTCGGCTCGACGGTCTTTCGACTAAATTTATTTAATCGCGAGGAAAATTCTGCTGGAAGCAGCGTCGATCAAGAAATTTTTAACATTTAACATTCGCTGATTTCGTCGAAAGATCCTCCAACCGATATATTTAACGCATTATCTATACAATTTATCACCCAAAGGAAACACGTGCCAGTAATATTCTGGAAATATGGTAGAATGAATTTTTCCTTCATGCAACGTTTGTACCATTCGAGTTCTTCCTTCTCCAGAGCTTTGTGTCCGAGTAATTCGTCGAATATCATCGATTTTCGTCGGGTCTCTGCTTTTTCTATCCTCCATTGCCTTTGCAGGCCGATCTTGTACGTTTCCACGTCGATCGTTTTTTTGATACCCAACGATAGAACGTGCAGGCTGTCCTCCAAATAATCGTACACTGTGTCCAACTTTTCTTGCACGAGGTCCTTCTCTTGATTCATCGGGGAACGTGGTTGGAAAATGCCACGAACCAACTGGGTACAGGATTTTGAAAAATTACAGTTAGAGAAAGGTAAATGATTTCTAGATTTAATATGCTACATTGTATTATGTGTTTACGGAATATGCATACAGCATGTAGTATAGTGATTTTGATAAATTCAAACTTCAGACTATCGTCCTCTGGAATACGAACAATGGCATTTACTAAAATTCGATTATTCCAAATGTAAGTTTTCAAGCTTCCTTAAAATTATCATTCGTATCTTTCGCTCGCCGATTATCGCGTCCACTGTTATAATTTGTTTCGTTGTTCTATTAGTACGTACACAGAGATCAGAGGAAGAAAGAAGATTAGAAGTATATTTCTCGATTTCAGAAACTTACTCGAGACAAATCATTTAGTCTATTTATCTGTATTTACATTAACAATTAATTTTGTGAAATTTGGATCAATTAAATTTACTCGAAAGCCAAGCATTTTGGTGGTGGAATGCGGCTGGCTGGTCGATCGAGTAAATTTAATTGGAACATCTGGCAATAGGTTGATAAAAAGGACATTAATTCACTAACGGACATCCAATAGCGCCCGAGTGCTCTTTGGAGATCGATCACTGCATTTCCACCTGGTTCCTTGAATCCACGCAGAATACGAATACTCAATAATTCGGGCAAAGCTTCGACGTCGCCCATTAATGGCAGGTCATGGGTATTTTTCCAAATACCATTAGCGTTCCTTCCAAATGGGAATAGCCAATCGTACGGAATCGAATAAGTACTGCGCAATATGTCCCTCCTATCGAAATTCGTTGGCTTCAGCTGATAATCCTGGTGGCGGTGAAATAAAAATACGAACAAGCTATTTCCTTTAGAAAATAGATTTACACAATTTCACGATCAAAGCGAATATAAAAATTGTAGTTGCGTGTGTTCCTTTTTCGTGATTTCAATTCTGAAGCTTTCAATTGCCCGTTCAACAAAGTTGCAAGATTCTGTCGTTACTCTTTTGAAAACATTTTTAAGAAAATAAAAGTTCTCGCGTTTGAAAACAAACTTTTACTTGTCTCGGTAAAGCTTGTTAAAGGCACTTGAAAGTTCTTTATCGTTTTCTCTTATCTATTATACAGTTACTCATAACAGCATGGAAAATTAACGTTTCATCCTACAAACATTTAAACTAAACGGTAAAGACTATTCGATACGATTTAATCGAATGCCGAAACTAATATAATTCAAAGCGCGGAATACAGAAGAAAATTCAGCTTTTAGTAGATGAAAACAAACAGTGAAAGCACCCAAACGATCTTTAATTATTTCCTATTGCTATGATAAATTAAAATCGCCTCAATGAGGCGAGAACTAGAGAACGTAACGATTCAAAGATCTTGTTGTATTCTATGAATTGCTCTCTCGTTTTGTCTCGTTGCTCAAATTAAGCGAAGTACAGACTCTACGACTCTAAGCAATTATCTCGCTATTGTACATTTCCTCTTATTTCTTCTACGAATAAAAGTATGAAAATTAATCAATCTAACCGGGAACGATAGTGCGTTTTTCAGTCGAGATTCAGTTGCCACAGGTTCACACGCGATGAGGCGATGAAGTGTCGGTCGATTGGGGCTCGGATATAAAATGATGCTCGTTTCCTTATCGAAGATCGCTGTCAGCTCCGTTTGATTCCTGGTAAATCTATGAACGTACTCGTAAGCCGTGAGATCTCGATTTATGGCAAATATTCTACAATTAGTTCTGTTGCTCTTGAAACAGAGCGTTTCATGACTGCAGGAAGGTTCAAGGTCTTCTTCGAACTTTTCGTCGTAATATTCTTTTTCCTTCGAGTCGACGGTGTTGGCGTCCGCTTTCTCACGTTTTAGCGTTTCGGCGTTCGGTTTGTAACGCGTTTTGCCATCGCTTGTTACTTCGAATACGTTGCCAAAGACGTCAGTGGTGGTGAATATGACGGCCGATGACTCGGAAGGGAAGAAATTGTACGTGGAAGTAGATTGGTTGCCGCAATTGGTGCACGTATTGCCTTTGAACGACAGATCGTCTTCGTTGATCTAGTAAAAATGTATTTTCTTGTAAAATAGTACAAGTAGCAGCGTGTGAATTTTAGCACATTCGTCTGAAGTTTGAAGGTGTCAAAATACACGAGAATAATAATTTATAGCAACGTATTAACATAGGGAAATATATTAAACGTTGAAAATATAATCACTAAAATAATTTCCTGCCTAGATTCTATCTTTCCAATTATCTTCGTAAAAGTGCCTGCAGGCGAGTAAATTTTCTATCGCTGATTAAAGAGATCGAAGTATAGACACTTTCGTTTTGTAGGAATTATCGGGAAAATGTTATCATCGGCACCTTGCTGGTCGGCAAATTAAAAAATTACGAAAACCAAACTATTTATTCAGTTGATATGGAATCTTAGAATTACCAGGTAGTAAAATTGTAGAATTGTAAAATCGTGAAACTTTCCTTACCGAATATACCCATGAAAGGTTGGATCAGAAAAAGCTACACGAGATTCGCCATTCTAAGGAACCTTTTATCGACTCTAAAATACGATTTTAATCGCAATTTCTCGCAAAGACCGGGAAGTACCGGAAGTGCTATTAGAGTCACACGGTTGGTAGATATCCGTTTTCCAACGAATCTCATCTAGCAGGTTTTGATTACCTTTAGATTAACTCCGTCCGCCATCGAAACTTCGTAATGACCTCTTCTCGATATGCTGACTCGAAGATCGTCCGGCATCGATAAAGTGCAGTTAACTGCTGACTGATCGTAGAACACGGTGGCATAGTTCTTGTGTTCCATGCGACACGTCAACAGGACGGAGACGAAACTGTCCCTGATCAATAGCTCGTTTATTTTCTCCTCGTAATCCGCGTTCACTTTCGGCGAAGAAGTTTCATCGACGTATTTCAGATTCGATAACGACGGATCGATGCAGTGCTGCTGCTCGTCTTCCTTTATTCCATCAGAAACGAAGTATAGTAGAATTTCTTCCTCGGTCCAGTCACACATCACTGGCTCCTTTTCTATAGTGTAGCCAATCGTGATACGCGTACCGTCTAGAACCGAGCTTTGAATTATACCGGACCTTTACGCCATAGGAATCTTTCTATAAAACTTTCAAAACCGTTCCACCATGCGATAATCGTTTCTGTTATTTCCTTTCTCGACGTAATATTATCGGTTTTGTACGCGATAAAATTGTCAATTGAAAGCAGAAAAATACCTCGCCTTCGCGCTGATAATCAGGCGAAATGTTCCCAAAGCTTTCTTAACGAAATATAGTAAAGGTAAAAAATGCATTGGTATCATGAGAGAGAGAGAGAGAGAGGGAGATTTTTTGTTTCGATAATAAAATGGATCGTTAGAAAAATTACTGCAGGCTAGTAAACAAAATTGGCAATTCATTAAATTGCATAAGTCATTTTCTCTGGGAAAAATTATGCGAATGGCAATAAAAGAACGTGGATCTACCAAGTCAGAGTTGGTGCTTCAAGAATTTCAATTTCGTAATTATTTGTTCTAATAAGAGTACGCGTGTGGAACTTTGAACGTGTCTTACATATTAGTTCAATTCGGATTCGATGTTACAATTTTAAAATACTCTGACTCTCTTCGGTGTATCGGCCGATCTAATGACACTTTCTGATCACTTCGGTTTCTGTTTTATTAGAAACAGCTGAGAATGTGATCTTATTAGTTGAAATTCGCATTTGCTAGACACACGTTACGTGTGTCAAGAGCCAAGGACCAGAAAGAAAACGTTCGTTTTAATTCTACCCACGCAGAAATGAAGTAACATTCCTTTCGACATTGCGTGTTTCGTTTTTCGCTCTACTCAGAACAAATATATATACGTTACAAGTACCTAAATAACAAATTCGCGAGCAATCGCAGCCAATTTAAGAAATAATGAATTTCAAAGTACTTGAGGCTATCACGGTTATGTTAAGATCGATGTTGTTGCGGAGCAAACTTTCTGGAAACTCGTTCCACGAAAGAATTTGCTTTACCTAACTGACAACGCAGCCGAAAAACTTTCATAATCAGATTACAATCTCTATGATACGATATTAATTTGTTAATAATGTTATTGATCATTAATCGAGAAAAAAATTCAATCATTGATGAAATAAATATAAAAATGAGAAAAGAGTACAGTATAATGTGTGTGTGTGTGTGTGTGTGTGTGTAGAAGAGTAACGATCACGTTATAAAGATATAGTTGAAAAATTCGAGCGTTTCTATTCATAAAGCTATGAAAGTCAAGGAACGTTCGATACAGGAGTCGATACGTTCGAGTCACGTTCGCTTGGAACCAGTTTCCCAGCGGTAAAATTTTTTATTTCATTCTATGGCTTCCCACGAGCCATTTATAAATAAAACAAAATGAGTCACCTGGCTCTCGAACGTACATACTAATACTTGCGATACAGAAAAGTGTGTGTATCGAGTTTAGACGGATTAAAAAAGAACGATCGATAACGAGGTTCGTTACGAGTTTCTTTGCCACTGATGAAAAAAGAATTAAAGGGTAGTAGAATCATTACGTTAAAGTGCTATCGACGCGCTTTACTTCTCGTAGTAGTTGGTCAAACGTTTGTAGGAACTGCATTCAACCGAGCAAATAAAATACAGGCGGAGATGAGGAAAGTTTGGACGAAAGTTTATGAACTTGACTTTCGCATAGGTTACGAAAATGTTTTGTACAACACAGCCGTGAATCGTAGCATGATTTTCCAGCGTTGCACAAGATAAATATTTGTCGTTTGATAACGTTAAATCATGAGGCAGAGTGTTTAACAAAATTATAAAGTACACAGCAACGCGGATCGGTATCGGACTGTTGAAATCATTCTGTTTGTCATCGAAGATAAAAGAGCAATCAAATGCTTAACAACGCTGAGTTTTTGGATTACAGAGAGCTAGTTTGACATTTACTTTTTGCTCGAAATTCATCGATTCTGTGGTGTCATTCTCAGTTTATTTTTCAACTCGCTAAAAGTTTAGATAGGTATTTTACAAACATGGATTCTTTTGACTTTAGACGTTTGTTAACACGATAGAAATATACTATAGAACGAGATGTCGTATACAAGTGACACTTTATCGAGAGGATGTTTTTTACTATGAATTTTGAAGGAACCGTATCTTTTGGATTAATGTGAACATTTCAGAATATAATTTAAAGAGATTTTGATTATTGTATCTACGTTATTCAAATTAGATATCGTCGCTCTAGTTCTTAACTGTTCTACCTCCGCTAGTTTGTAAACTGAGAAAACTGAGTTCAAAGTTTATGAAGTGTGTTATTGTGTGTGTGCTTAGGATTGAATATTTAATTAATAAAATTAATTTATAAAAGAACCGAATATTTATACCAAGTTGAATTTTCATAATATTAGCATAAATTTGTATTCTTTATACCTATCAGATACACGTGAATCGGTTGATTACATTCTTTTATTTTAAATAGAGTTCGAGCGGTTAAGAACTAGGGCGAGGATATGTAGGTCACAGGTAAAAATCACGATAAGTCATATTTTCTATCTTTTATCGATGTTCTATATTCCATAGAATTCTATAGAAGAGGAATTTTTAAACGCGATATATCGTCAACCATTTCCACATCAAAACTATCTTTTTAATTAATCAGTTTCTCTTAATTAAGCCAAGCTTTCCTGCAAAACATTTCGAACTGATCGTTTTTGTTCAAAAAGTTTGTATCTTCGACTGTATCAGATTCTTCCTTTCTTCGATTATTTTACGTCGAAAGCAATGCAAAAGTAAAAAGGTCGGTAAAAATGGACTCGTCATACTTTTCCCGTGTCACCTTTATATTACTCGCAATACTTGCGATGTAATTATTTCACGATAGACCAATTAGCGTGTCTCGTCGTTGAAGATTTAATATTCGACGACAGAACAAATTGATCAATTCGTAGTAAGAAGAGGAAAGTTGCAGAATGAAAGATGACGACAGGTATAGACTTAACTGTTACGTTTATTATGAAGCGCTTACGTAACTTCTCGAACATTTTATCCGATTTAGATGTATCGATCTCATTGAACGAAATATAATAGCGCGCAGAAATCAGAATCCGCCCTACAAAGTGGCAGGTACGCTGAAACGTACCTGGGTATCTGACGATCAATTCCCCATCGGAATTCAGCAACATGTTGGTACCGTCGGCGCGACGCGTGAATTTCTCGTCGACCTCGTAGTCTGACGCCATTCTCACGAGTAATCGATGCTGTTCACTTACGATCAAGTCGTCTAGCACCTCGTACAGCCCACCGTCGTCATTCAACACTATGTACCGTGACACTTTGACCGTGTTGTCCATCGTTGACAGAACGTCGTCACGATCCTGAAGGCAAGTCATGTTCCGATCAACGAAGACCAAGACATGTTTGAATGCTGGCAATCGCGTTACGATTTCACATGTAATACGGGAAATTGTTGTTGTTGTCTAGCAAATAATTCAAGCTTGGGAAACGAAGAGCAATTCGATGAATAGGAAAGAAACGATCGAAAGAGGAACATTTTATTTGTTATCGTTTAATTACGTTTCCTTGCATTTGTTTGTGATTTTTGCTTTCTAGGAGCACATCATGGAATAGCTTTAATTATCAGGGATTTTATTTGAAAAGGAAGACGAAGAATATTGGTTTTCCTTGTTTTTCATAATCTTTGAAAGAAATTTTTATTGATCGTACTATCAGCGAGATTCGTCCTTGCGAATGTCCAACTATTAAAATATCTTTGTCCATTGAGTAGGTATTGATGGATTTTAAAGTAATCGACTAACTTTTTTAAACATTACGTTTATATATTTCGTATTAAATAATAGAAGAAATTGTGTATTTTATTTTCTCACTGATTGTGCAATTAGTTTATGCATTCCAACATAAACGACCAAGCGTCGATGCTTTAAACGTTTCCCTCGAGTTGAATTCTTGTCGTATTAGATCAGATCGGACTCGTTCGTGGGTTAAAACGAAATTTAACGGGTACTTGACTCACCATCGTTAAATTCTGCTGTGCAGACACAGAATCTACCTCGTCCGCTTCGAGCAACGCAGACTTGAAGCCAGTCATTGGCTTTCTCTTGACTTTAGATAGAACCTTCGGCTCTTTCGGTCTGTCGCCTTTAAAAGTGGAATACGGATACATTTTCAAGGCTCGTCTCAATTCACAAAGCTTAAAACAATATTCAGAATACGCGTTAAAACAGATAACAGTCAACGGTAATCCTGAAATAGAATGCATAAATTTGTAAATTACAGTAGAACGCCGATTATCCGAACTAATTGGCAGACAAATCCGTCCGGATAAGAGGTTTTTCGGATGATCGGTTCGAAAGAACCGTGGACGTGTCATAATTCAACTAGAAAATAAACTTTGGGAAATAAATTTTCCAAATATGAATGTTTATTACGCGAAAGAATACACATTCGGTAAGAGAAATACGATACAAAGAGTAAGATAAACGCTTTTAAATCCCGTCAAGTTGCAGAGTCCCTCTGACACGAACATTTGTACAGTATCCGTTTCTTTTCGACGTTTTGCCCATTACAATGCGATATTCAACGCGTTTTCAGCTCCGCTGTGTGTTAGAATATTGCACCGGTTAATACCACATTCGGTCATACCTTCTTTTATATAAACATTACTGGATAAAATAATATCGTCGTGAGTCGTACTTTTATATCCTGGATTATTTTTATCTATATTTAACCACTTCTGTATATCGTCGTTATTACAATCTTTGAATCCGTATCTATATATTGCGTGCCAAACTTTTCAATTCACCATTGGTTCCAATTTGTCTAACATTAGCATATGCAGCATTGCACGATCTGTTCCATGCTCGTTTAAGCGTAGCTGCGTGTGTTATTATGTTACGTGTTAACTTTTCCCATGCTTCGTTCAACACATAAATGCGATCTTTTAAATCAAGCTTCTTACAAAATTGTAACACAACTCGCGTTGTTGTCGTCAACGATTAACAAATATCGCAATAAATTCTTTTGGCAATATCTCTCGAAAGATTGAATAATTAATTGATCCATAGGACGAAGCCCTGATGTTACGATACATCGGGAGATAACGAAAGATGTTTACCATTTCGCTTTCAAATTGTAGAAGTTGCGCGGAAAATTGCCGGTCTTGTCACAGTTATAAATACGATCTTAATCTTAATCCTTTTCTTGCGCGAGAATTATTAAAAACTTGAAGAAATTCTTTAGCCGTGGAACTGTCAGCGGATAATTTTCCTTCCGCAAGGTCGAGTTTACGTGTTCCATATCTTAATTCAAATTGTTTTAGCCAACCAGTAGGTGCTTTAAAACTTCTATTATTGCCTAACTTCGTATTCAATTCAAAAGCTTCCTCTTGAATTAATGGACCCGAAGATGCTATACCAGTGCTTCGTTTTTGTAAAATCCATTTGTACATAACCCGATCTAATTTATCATCCTTTGATATTTTCAAACTTCTACGGAGACGCAAGTTACTTTCATATAAGTTCTTCCGAAGTCGAAATAATTTTGATTCGCTATCTTTGATGTCGCTAGTTACAGATTTTCCAGCATCGTATTCTGTGATTAAATTAAACGCACTTCCATCCTTTTTTAAACGTTAAATAATATTTGATTTATCTTGTACTGACAACACCATTCTCTTTTTCTTTTTATACTCATGGTATATGTAAAATCTGTACGTACGCGTTACATTCAGACGATACATTAAGACATTACAACGAGAGGTTTGAAGCAGCAAAAACACGTGTACAAAACTGCAAGCATTGTTTAAACATCGTCAGATATTTAGTTTAAACGTGTACTTTGTACATATGTAGGTGCGCAAATGATTCATCCTGTATTCGGATAATCGGCGTTCTACTATATCATAAACGACACATTTTATTTTTGCTTTGATATTTTTCAAAAAGCATTGCAAATACCTGAACCATTTTTTGGCACGTTAACCTGCTCATCGTGATTTTCGTGTCGTTCGACTCGAAGCTCCTCGAAGGCTATACAATTGACGATTACTCCGTTAGGCCGAAGAACTGTTACTCTGCCATCGTCCAGATATTTTAGAACGGTGCCATTTCTCAGAAACCTTCTGCAAATTTCACGATCACCTTCGGGGTTAGTGTATCCCTTTGGTATGTAGGACTGTTTAATGTAATATGGATTATCCGGACCGTCACCGATGATTGGTTCTATCAGTAATCCCGTCGGCCACGAGATTCTTTGCTCGACGTTCGTGTCTTGCCAGGTATGAAAACGATTCTTTGACGTATCTAATGCAAATTTACCAAATAATTAATTACGGGAGATGACGGCAAAAATATCGCTAAAAATATCGTAAAAGTATTGGGTTGGCAACTAAATCAGGTTACGTGGTAAAAAAAGGACGTTTTCGATATCATAATATTTCTATTGTATATGAAAATTGCAATATTTATTTTTAAACGAAATAATAAAATACAGCAAAGAAATATTTCATTTTGGAAAATTTGATCGTTTAGTGAAACTATTCTTAAAGTTAATAAATAGAAGTCGCACGTGAATCATTCTTTTGTAAATTAACTGTACTAGAAATTGTTATAGAATATGAGATGGAACAATTCGTGTAAGCGCACGATGAAATCTGGTACGCTTACATGGTTGCAAAGTTTGTTGCGTAGCAGCATACAAGCTGCATGTTAATCAAAACTTGATTCAAACGTCACTTCCATAGTGTCTTTTGCAGCTACTCCTACGATATTAATTTATCTCGTAAAAGGTACGTACGTCACGGTGCATAGGATGAAATTTAACAAGGAATATATTCACCGAGTCAGTGTGATCGACATTGTCTCTCGTCGGTAACTTTTTAAGATTTTCATTTTAATTAATTGAATTAATTCGTTTCGATCGATTCGTCACATACAAGGGTTGAATCTTTTGATCCTATTATGCGCTTGAAGCTCGTTATCCGACTGTGGATATTTATGCGAATTCACATTTTTATGAAGATAGTTAAAAAACCGGAGTCTAGCAACAAGTTTGTTTCATTTTCTAAATATTCTAACTAGTACTGTATATTTGATATATTTGATAATTTTGTGCTTTTAAATTTAAACAAATGCATGAAACTTCACATTCCGTATACTTTTAAAATAACCAAATAATATCGTCGATTCATCGGTTTAAAAAGGAAGAGGAAATTTCTAAAATATTTGACTCTTACGTGACGACGCCAGTTTCTTCTGGAAAGCAAGAATAATGCCGATTCTACTCGTTACGTGCAATATCTCGTTCGTTTCAGGACCATCGATTCTATGAAACAATCGTAAACTGTATCCATGCAGAGTAACCGTGATTCGTAAGTTCTTGGTTTTGTAAAGCCAATCGTCTATTTCCACTTGTACCAAAGTGTCATCGGCCGAGTAAAACGTTTTCTTGCGATTTGTCACTTGTACACGTAGTCTCTCAAGATCATAACCTACGAAATCATAAACTGGTTCCCTCTCGGTATCGGGTGGAGCCAGTGACACTTTTCCAGTAATCAATGGAGAGATTTCATCGGCGATTGACTTCTTCGAACTGATCCTTCGACTGGACGATTTGTCGTTCCTCTTTTTGCCTTCCTTAGGGCTCTTCTTTCTCTTTTTTCCGGCGTTCGTCATTTCTTCTATGGGAGTAAGGGGCGATACATCTACGAAAGAAGATTCTATTGGCGTCACAGATTTCATTACTATCGTATTTCTCATACTGGAATCGTAAGACCGTCGAAAATAAATATCTTTGGAAATTATTATATCCAATACCGAGATAGTTTGATCAAGCGAATATTGAATTTGAAACGAAAGAATACTAAACAATTGCTAATATCAGAATTCTTAAAATCACGCAGTTTCCTTAATCGAAAGAACAGGATCGCGTCATTGGCACACATACTACATATACGTCTTTGTATATTATCATATACATTTTATATCTAAAATATGCAAAGTGTATGTTCGATGGACAGTTTAAAGAAGACCTGGAGATCGAGTCGAAAGGATAGAACGTCTTCTTACCGACATCCAAACTACTTTTTTGCCTATCAAGATCCCTGCTGGCTTGCGAATCTTTTGCTTTTAGTGTCCCAGGGAGAATGAAGTCCTCGTCACGGAACAGCATCGTCTCCTCGTATATCTCGGCGCTCTTTCTCATCAATCTTTCCATGGACTTGGCCGTCTGCAATCTGTACAGCTCCTCCTCCCGGCGTAGCCAATCCTTCTCCTCGGGCACTACGTATTTGCAGAAATCACGAAGTCGGACCGGCGTCCGAATACTAGACATTCTTTCTTCGGTGCTTACTCCATTGATTTTCCACTTGTTACAGAAACACAGCAACAGAGAGTCGGTAGGTTCGAAGTATCGCAGACCGACGTGATCGAACGCAAGGAGACACTCGTAAAGAAACTGTAGAAAAATTGCCTCCGATAATAGTTCGACGTCGCTGAAATCTTCGAGACGAGCTCTATCCAATACTCTTGTCTTGAACACGTTCTCTTCCAAATAACCCGGGACTAATAATTCACGAGGGTCTATCAGGTCGAACAGCGGCGAACACTCGACGATATCTGGAACGATTTTCCCGTAATCGATGTTACCATCGCTGAGAAAATGGAGTTCCGGCGTCAATTTCGAGGTTAGGCTCGGCAAAGACTTGCTACGTTTCGGTGAAAGCGCGAACGCTTCGTTTCGCATCGTCTCGTTCGAATCTTCTTTCGTTTTTATACCTTTTATACTGTCTAGCGTTTCGGAATCTTTGGTTTTACACTCCAACGATCGAAATATCATTCTGTCGAACATTAAAACGTGCAAATAATGTCGAACCTCTTCGTCGCTTATCTCCACGTCGAAATAACGTCGAATGTTATCGATGTGACGGGCGTATTCGTTCAATTTTTTCTCTGAGATTTCGTCCTTTCGACGAAAACTCGCGACCATTGGATGCCGGAAAATGGGCAAAATGTTGTCGATCAAATCTGTCAGGTTTCGGATCACTGGAATCGCGCAGTCATCGAGAAGACGAATGGCTTCTAGCAGACTATCTCCGTGAAGGATTAGTTCAATGTCAGCCGGGGTTTGTCCACCATCGATGTTGTATTCCACGTCATCGAGGTCGTATTTAATATTCAGAATCTTCACTTTTTCTTCGACGAACGAGACGAGGGACTGACTTGTCATTTCCGCTTTCGTTTTCGTCTCTACGTCGTGCTACGCGTAATTATAAAACGTTACTTTTTCACTATCAATTTGGTAAAACTTTCTTCTTCGCTCGGATCAAATCATTTATCTCGTAATCTGCATATTCCATAATACAACATTCGTACGATGGAATTTACAGAAAATTAATTTTTTCTATCGTTTAATTTCGGAATTAATATATTTCAGTTAACTGTGGTCCGCGAATGCAGTTTGCATATTTAATCTTTTACGCGAGCCGTACAAATAATTACAAAAAAAGGTATGAAACTTATCAGCTTACTTGTTGACCCATCTTCGCATCCCCTTTCTCGTCGATGCAATTTTCCACCGTAATTCTTTCCTCATTCGCTTCAACTTGCGTCAATATTGCAAACAATATCAGCGGAACTGAAACGCACTCTGGAGGAAACGCATCCAGCAAGGTCTCATAAACTTCCGCATTCGCTTTCTTCGTACTTTCACCGGCGATACCCTTCTCCACTTTCATGCTTTTCAAATAGTTACCATGCTGTCTATAAAGATCGTAAAAATCGTATACGATATACGACACTCTGTCGTACATGTCCTTCTTCAGAGCTTCATGCTGCTCCTTATTTGAAGTTTCTGGCAGCAGCGGTGGACAAAATATGAGAAAACCGATATCACAATATTCTTGGTACGCTACAGGATCCATCAATCGTTTCTTCACTTTCGTCCAAAAGTTAAACAACCTAATCTTACTGACACTATACTCTTCTAGAAAATATAGTTTTCTACTTTCTGTGGATTCCTCCTCGATATCTTCGTACTGTACGTGATCCAGTTGTTCGTTCGGTCGTTTGATCTGCATCATGCAACTTAATGGCACGCCAACGTTTATCAAATGTTGTGGTAGATCCGGATCGTGGAAGCCCGTGAGAATTATGTAAAGATTTGGTCCATTCACGGGGGCATCGTCAACGTAAACAGCGTCTCGCCATTCTTCGCCGCGCTTTCGCAGTTTCGTGTTCGCCTTTCTGTCGAATACTTCCGGATCCAATTTCTTCGTGGCTGGCTGCGCTCCTGTCGAGACGATCATTTCAATTTCGACAATTTACAGAAGTCGATCCCATTCCCCTTGCCATCGAAGACCACACGAAGAACAACACGACAAGTTCATTTTTCTTAATTTCTTGACTTCGATGGCACTCGTTACGCTCGCGAATATGACTTTCCTGAAAACAGGTGACGAATCCATGAAATTTTATAAACGATCAAGCGAAGAATTTGAAGAAACTGATTGCTGCATTTTGAAAATCGCTTATCGTGTTTTTCGCCCTGTGATCTTCGATTGCTTTCGTTCCATCCACGTCGTTTTAGAAAAATTGTAAGAGAATTTAACCCATTTGCATCCAAACGCGGATTAATCCGCTGCGACTGCTTTTTATTTCAGTCGCCAAGTATTCTTCAGATGTGAGAGTTCACGTTTGACCCGTTTATCAGCATCTCGCCTATATCAGTTTATTGTATCGACGTTTCAAAGAATTCTACGAGAAATAATATGACTTAATTTTTTATTTCTTATTTTTTTAAAATAAATAATTTTTTCTTTTTTCCTCTGTTATAAAGAACGTAAGATGCTATGTTTGCGAAGTAACATTGTCTGCCAATCGTTTCGAACAGTAAATTTCGGATAAACCCCATGAAGAATGTCATTTACTGCGCCTACGACCGACCGCGTGCGGTGATAGGGGCCAGTCCTCTTAAGTAGAGCCATGATGCAAATGGGATAAAATTGTAGTGGCACGTGAGTTAGAGGACAATTCAACTCATGTTGTTATTTTGCCTCGGGACATTCACACCGCCTTCACGCACGCAACGTAACGATAAATAAACTCCGGGCAAAACAATGTAGCCGCTACGTGCAACCGTCGATCAAAGACGAATTTGAATTTTCCGACTCTCCCCCGACCAGTATAAATAAACGCACGCGATCGCGAGCGAATCAGTTGTTAACGGAGTTACAGTCAGTTGTCGATCAGTTATCAACCAGTTATCAACGAATTATCGATCTAATTAACGAGTCATTAGCGATCCTATTTTACGACTTATACACTGTACGAGCATCTCAGCGAATGTAGTTTGTATACTAATTTATTATTTTAAATATATTCGACGGTTTCAACAATGAGCAATCTCGTCCAATAAATCTCACGGTCAAACCTTCCTTAAATGTTACAACAAGTACTTCACTTTGAATATTTTTTATATTTCGGCATCTTACGCGCAATTTTTACATCGCCGCATCTTTAAATTTTCCATAAATAATCAATTTTACTCTATTAAGAAAACACGAACGATCCTATTACCGAATCTAACCCTTAATTCTACTCAAATTACTTTATACCAGAATTTTATCGTCATAATTAGAATAGCAACGCACCTATCGTCTGGTCAGTTGCTAATAACGTTCCCCATAGACGTTAGGGGCGTGATTTTGCACGCGAGCTACTAAAGCCGAATCGCCTACCCCAGTCTGCGACTGTCTGTATAATCCAATACTCCTCGTCTATCTCTCGCTCCAGGTCAGCTAGCCTTTCCACTATACCGATGCTCTCCTCCCTGGCACGATATATTAAGTACTTGATGATCCGTGCCATCAGCCAGCTTGGTAGCGCGTCGTTCTCCTCGTTCAAAACCTTGTTCGCGTAATGACAAACGCCCTGAATCGTTGGACATTTATCTAGGCTCTGCTTCGACAACGTTCTCACGCTGGCCAGCGTTTTCTGACAGCACAGAGAGTAAATGGCTTTCCGCCTACCCTCTTCAGCGGCCACGTTGAAAAGCGACACGCACCTCGAGTGTTCGGTAATCGTCTCAACCATCATGGTCACGATGCACCACCACTTCTCGTCGTTGATCGAAATCGCCTCCAAAGGCTTCCGCCACGCGTCCTCGTCGATCTGCTTCCTTCCTTTGCTCGAAGCTTCGGAATTTGGCGATTTCTTGCTTCTTCGCATCCTTCGTCAATTTTTATACGTTAACCTAGATTTTATTTTCTGTCAACTTTTCACACGGTTACATATATTTCATCGGTTATCGAACAATCGATACTTTATTCATAGGTAGAGCGAAACAAGGAGCATGAAGTTCGTTGATATAATACAATACGTGTATTTTTACGCAAAGAAAATATAGGTAAATTTAATAAATAAATCGTAAGTGAAATAATTTTCTTGCACATAGAGTCGCGCACGAGATTCAACGAAGAGATAAGGCGAATAAGCAGCGGTGAAGTTTCGTTATTTACGGCCTATTTACGTGAAAATGAAAATATTAATTTTAACTAATTATTAAATAATCCATATACTATAAGAATATTTCACGAATGACACTCAACCCTTTGCACTCCTGTGTCAACCGTGTCTCGATATCAATTTTTATCTCAGTCCCTCTGTCCAGTCTCACTCGACATTCTTTCATGTCCATTTTTTTTTTCTGAAACGTGCGAAAGAAAAGCAGGATTGCATCCTGGAAATCGTTTCAAGATATATCACATACTTAAAAATTACAAAATGCAACAATAGTGTGAATAAAACTGGTATTTAAGTGAATTTCCTTCTTCGTTTATACATTTAAATTCTCTTATTTTTTAGTTAAAATAAATTTCAAATAAAACACTCGAAAGCGTTGGCAGCTGCTGGTAACGAAATTGAAATAAAATTCGCAGTGCAAAGGGTTGAGCTAGTTCCACTTAACTTTATCGATATCTACTTGTATTTGTTTTTGTGTCCAAGCGATATGTGTCTATTAACGACAACGACGAAGATGGAAAGTATCGTAAGAATAAAAAATTGTACGTTTCATGAGATAAACTATAAGAAAAATACGGGATTGTATACTTTTAGAATGATACATGCGTTAGTGGCAGGTGGCCCGATGCTGAGCAGTGTGAACATGACGGCTTCTGGTTTCGGACAGTTCGGGTTTCATTTTCGGTCTCTTCTCGTCCACGTCAGGTTGATTTAAAGCTGATTTACACAGCATGTCAACCTGTAAACGGCGCGATGCAAGAGTGACAAAACGTTGTCTAAACTGCGCTAAAATCGACTACAGTCGTACCGTCGACAAATCTGCACCGTTTGGAATCGATACGAGGAATTTACGTAGCGATATTTTTTCAAACTGTGAAACGCTCCAATGATTTATTTCCGCTAGAAAATGGAAAATTCTTACGAATAATTTCTTATAAATTAGAACAGGTTCGTGGTATTTCACGTGTAAGTCAAACATTTTGCTATTAAGAAACGATACATATTGCTATAAAATATAGAAATTATATTATATTACATTTTATCGATTTATTTTGATATTCAGTGGTGTGCGCTATGAACGCGAATCACAATGAACATCACGAACAGTAACGTGACAAACAATTTAAAAATTCGATAATCGATTCCATGTTATCAAGGTTGTTGTTTTAATTCGTTATGGAATTCAGTACGCATTTTTGCATCTTGTTCCGCGTTTCAAAAGTGATTGTTCGTTCGATCGTTTACAAAGTTTCATGGATTTATCGACTGTTGCCTATTTTCAGAAAATTTATGTTTAGGAATCGCCATGTCCTTTTTGCATACTCTTCGATTAACAATCTGTGGAAAATACGATAATACAAATGTTGGTTTATTTCAATTTGCAATAACAAGCATTTAGTCGTCGTACCTGTCCGTATGCTAATTGGATTGCGTTACACAAACTATGCGAGTGCCGATAAAAAACTTTATGACAGAATAAGGAATAAAA